ACTCGTATTTGGCCAAGAGTAAAAGTCGCCTATCACGGTCTAAGGCCTGAACTGTCTTCGCCCGCTCAAACACTGGGATCGTGGGTTCAAATCACATTTGAGACATGGATGTCAGAGTGCGTTTATTCCGTGTTTGTGCTGTCTTGTGTGTGCAGATAGTGGCCTTGCGACGGGCTGATCCCCCTTCTAAGGAGTCCTACCGACCGTGTAAAAGATCAAGAAACTGCAAAGCGGCCAAGGTTAAACAAAGGGCTGTAGAGCCAGAGATAGACAGACAGACAGACAGACAGACAGATAGATAGATAGATAGATAGATAGATAGATAGATAGATAGATAGATAGATAGATAGATAGAAGAGTACATGTTATGAAGCTCCTCATTATGATATTTTCTCCATCTTCCCACCATTTCGCCCCTCTCCTGTCTAAGTATCCTCCTCAGCGTCCTGTTGTCAAATCCCATCAGTCCATGTTAGTGTCCACAACGGAAGGCAGGAATTTGTGGTTCCCGCATGAAACAGCATCAGTAATATCGGACCGGACGCTGCTAATTAGATCGCTTGCTCAACATGTCACGTGAAATGAAAGTCTACTGCACGTACGTAACTCTTCAACGCGACCGTGGGAACGTGAAGGTAAAGAGACACGCTGTAAGGTAGTGAGTTTTCCAAAAGGAGGAATGCTAACCTATTTAACACGCCCTCTAAATGGACACCGAAAGCCATTAATTGAGGTGTAGCTCATTTAATGAGAGGTCTGTTGCTTCAAGGAACGAGATCGCGTAACATGGGATGGTGAATATGAAGATGATTACGAATGGTGGAATGAAATAGAGAAGGGAATATTCGTGGTCTCAATATTCGAGGTTGGGCCGTAGACATTATTGCCTTATAGCGAGGAAACTTTGGCATCAGATTTTGGACCCCCAGGGCGACTGTCCTGATTCAGTTTTTACCGTTTTCCTCAGTCCCTTTAGACAAAATTACGAGAAAATATCTCCAATCCGGTCTAGCAAACTGAAATTAACGGCCTTGGGGATTCGTTACGCTGACCACGCGACACTCTCTATCCGCTAAAGTTGGCACTAACTTCGCCGACAAGCGGAGGTCGCTCGGTCGGTGTAATTCTCTTGCGGACTAAAGTCACGGAGTTTAATACCTCCAATTAGTCCACGCCCTCTACATTCCAACTCAGTATTCACGCACTTCCCACCTGTCCTACCTCTCGATGCTACCTCCATAGTCTCAGTAAAACCTTTCGGTAATATTTGTATTTAGTATTGTGACCTAATTGTTGGAAGCCGGAATAGCGGAGCCAGAAGAGGTTGCCGTTGATAACCAATGGCAGATTAACACGCGTCCACAACAACAAACACGCGAACCCAGGCCTATGAATTACAAGAGGCTTAAACTTGGCGGCGGTCAGGCTTACGGCCGTTCAAGTGTCTAACTGCAGTTTCATAGTAGTACAGTAAGTTAAGGGATAAGCTGCCGCACAAGCCTGCATTGACAGAAAACCTCTGTATATCTTGTACAAATGTTACTTAGTACAGTGTCATGACAAAGGGTGCACAGAGCCCACAGTGACCTGGACTCCGTGACAGGCCGGATATACTCGTGCTGAAACTGCGGTGCAACAAACGTAGCGCCTGCATAGAGAGGCCGACCCCTGTACAGTGCAGTGCAGTGCAGTGACACAGAGCCCATAGTGACATGGACTCCGTGACAGGCCGGATATACTCGTGCTGGAACTGCGGTGCAACAAACGTAACGGCTACATAGAGAGGCCGATCCCTGTACAGTGCAGTGACACAGAGCCCATAGTGACCTGGACTCCGTGACAGCGTGGATATACTCGTGCTGAAACTACGGTGCAACAAACGTAGCGCCTGCGTAGAAAGACCGACCCTTCTCTTGTCGACGAAGAGGTCCGATTTCGAAATATACGAGTATACATGTATAGGACATAATAAAAATCATACTCATGAACCTCTAGGACACTGAAGCCAGGAATACTGTGCTGACGAAACCCATCAAACAAAAAAATTAATCAACCGACCGACTGACCCAACAACCGACTAAATTTTTCACAGTGGTTGGAGATGGTTTGAAGGCTCCCAGAACCATCACAGTAAAATACGGTCAAGAGTCCCGTGAGACTCGGAACCAAAAATTACCGTACTGATGAGGATCAGCAGCAGTTAGCAGTTAGTCAAGTTAGTCAGCTGTGAGTCAGTCGACAACCAGCAAGGACGTGAGCACGGAATTAGAGCAATCTCCATTGTTAGAAGCCGTTACCAAACAATGACTATTAATTATATAAAGGTAAAATTATCCATGAAATATTCAGTGGAGGCTCATAGGGTTGTGAGACGCCGAGGTTCCCACATATTCTAGACTTTGTGTCTGCTTCAGTTACAATTATCTTAGAGTGTGTAATTCAGTGACACAGTTACCTGTAGTTATAAACTTTAAGACTTCAATAAATCCGACTGTCAATCAAAACACTGTGTCTACTCACTAACACGTGATAATATTGTGTTAGATTATTACATAACCATTAAATTAAGAATTTACATTATTCACTCAACATCATAGGGCGGTTAAAGCTAAAGTGGTCGACCAATAAATACTTAATGGGAAGAGATCGCCTAGGAGGTCAAGCCTTTGATGAGAGAATAATATTAAAATTAACATCAGGAAATAAATCGTGAAACAGTTAACAGCAATGAACTGACTGAGAATAAGACACAACGGTGGACTTTTCTAAAGAATAGTATAATCCTTCGGTTTCTATATCAAGGCGTAACATCATTGGGAATTGATAATTTTGTTAACATTGTTACAAGATTATGTACCATAGAAGGCAGTTCGGAAGTAATTGTGTCCTGGAGTTTTGTTAATAATTCTTTTTGTGATAAAATGTACAGTTTTGCAATGTTTAGGAGTTGTTTCTAGCACAAACAAGGGAATCCACAACATGAGTTCAACTGACAAATTCTTTGGGACAGCGAGAACAATAAAGCACAGCTGGAACTACTAGGTAAGATGAAAGTTAAGAAGTATACATATACTCGTATATGCTTATGTCCGTCTTTTAGGAGCAATTAAAACTTAACTTTATGATCGCCAGCGCAATTCTCGAACTAGCGCAACTGCCAACTCTGATGCTGCTACTCAAGGTGGATGTGCCCAACATCCAACTTAAATGTAGCTCCTTTTTAGACAATAATGAGTGTAATACTGAGCTAGAAACAAAACGTGAAAATTATTAAACAGTAAATTACGAAACGTTTACAAACCTGCATATGTAGAAATTTAACAGTGACCGAGTTCCTTGAGCATATTAAGATCACTAGAGTTCCTTAAGACAAGACAGAATTCTTGAATGCAAACACTACTTATTATTTTTTTTCCTTGGCACCACAGCCCCAGTGGGCCTAGGCCTACCTCCATGAACTTCTCCGTTCACTTCGGTTTTTCTAGATCTTACACATTCGGTAGGACTCCTTGGGCGGGTGATCAGCTCGTCGCAAGGCCTCTACCTGTACACACACAAACTAAACATCCATGCCCTGAGTGGGATTCGAACCCACGATCCCGGTTTCCAAGCGAGCGAAGACAGTGCATGCCTTAGACCGCTCGGCTACCGTGACCGGCAGTGTATAAGAATAATATATAAGAATTCAGTTCGTACCTCACAGGAAACAGCCGAACCCACGATCCCGGTTTCCAAGCGAGCGAAGACAGTACATGCCTTAGACCGGTCGGCTACCGTGACCGGCCTCCTTACTATTACGTGCAAATATTTTATATATTTACGAGTCATAAGCGATTTCCGACGACGGTGTAACTGATAAGCAAACTACTCTTCGGAATTCCACTCGCCTTGAAAGTCCACGCCCTTATGTGTGAGACAGCAATCTTTTCCCATTACGTAACCAGCCACACTGGATTTCCAAGCAATGTCGTACAGAAAATCGTTTCGTGGCCTTCTTCCATCCAGAGGAGGAGACCGGCGGAGAGGTATTCCAGACACGAGAAATTACAACATTTGTTCTAGTTATCTGTCAGCTGTGCTTATCAGTTACGAAAATGCAGTTTTATAAATAAGACAAAGCGGGTTACATACACGCATGGAGATGAGAAATTGATGCACAATTTTAGTCAGTAAAGTTGAAGAGAGGGAACAACTTCCGAATCCTAGGCGTAGAAGAGAGGATAATATTAAAAAATCCTCTGGGAATTACCATTAAGAATAAAGCCGACTGGTAAACTGCTGTGAGCAATGCGAGGAAAGTATTATTTCCTTCAATTGCAAGGAATATCTTGTTCAGTTGCTATTTACTCGTCTTTATGGTTTCATAGTTCTTTTAGAAGTTCAGAAATTTTGCGTCGAAATTCTGGAAATTAAGTATATGGAAGGCATTGTGCCTTATTCGGTGTATACTAACCACGCATTTGCCTGCAGGGACTGAGAAGAACTACGAAAATCTCTGTCATAATAGTCCCCCCCCCCCTCAGATATTTGAACCAGACATCTCCCGAACACATGCCAAAATTACCGCTATTCTGTATTCTTGAATGATCGTAAAATTTTGTGTCCACTGGTTTTCTTTGCTTAATTGAGCCAAGAAATATTATTTAGGCCTACTAAACATAAGTACACAATCGTAATATGTTTGAAGCTCCATATTATATTTGAACATTCATGTCCAAAATTAAATAAAAGACGGTAACTGGCAGAAGCACATTTCAAGTAGTGAGTCCTTCTGTTTTCGTGGCATTCTTACTGGCGACAATACGCTGGTCACATATACCGAAAGAAGTAACACTGAAAACATTTGTAATATTTGAAAAGCGATGTAACTGATTTCAACGTGTGAAACTCATGATCGTAACTTACCGAACACTAGCAGATCACAAAACTCGATTTTTACACAAATGTAACAATGTTAAATAATATAAACAATCACAAAATCTTATGAAAATATAACTGACCGTCGAAGGTTCGCCGTTAGGAACACACAAAATCACTGATAACTCTTCTTGTAACACCTTGCACAAATAAATATGATTTACGACATACAATTTCTAAAGAAACATTCTACACACTTACTATATGTGCCGATGTATATATATCCTTACTGCTGTACTAAACCCTTACATTCGTCCGTTCGGGCCATCCGCTGCATCTTGAATGTACTCCTTTCGTCGAAGCGAACGTAACAGACCACGCGAGACCTTGGTTGCGACGTGACGCAGCCACATATACGAGTATACGAGTACCTATACTTCTATGCTGTCTCCTTCAGGTAACCAGTCACGCGCAATACATATACAGATGATGGAACCCACATTATAACTCTCATGATTTTGTGAGGCGTAAAGAATCAACCTTAATATATAGCTTTCCGAATTTATTCAGCATTCATGACCATGCGATGGACTGCAATGTGGATTAATTCGGGCATATATTATGTTCTATAAAAGATGTAGGCAGTGATTAACGCGATGGAGGAATGGCCGCGCCATAGCTCAAGCGGTTAGTCGCTGGCTTCTCACCGCGGCGGTCCGGGTTCAATCCCGGGTCTGGTCAAGTGGGATTTGTGGTGGACAAAGTGGCGCTGGGGCGGGTTTTCTCCGAGTACTTGGGTTTCCCCTGCCAATCTTTATTCCACCAAATTCTCCATCATCATAATCACCCTGGGCAGGCTACAATAGGCCAATCAGTGGCCGACGTGCCGAGTGGACCCAGCTGGACTCCACCCCCCGCTAAGCGAACGTGATGGAGGTGGGCTTCGGTGGAAGGCTGAGCGTGACCTTTAACCCACAGTGTTGCTAAACGAGTGTGAAATTCATTCATATTTTCTCTCTTTCAAAAAAGAAACATTCCAATAAGATATACAAACATAACAACTTTATAGACTTCAAAGGATTCTGACGATGGTGTATACTGTACTTCTTTTGGCTTATTTTGGACTTCACCCATCGTCTGGTATATAAAACACAAAAGTCCAGTGATTGAGACTAGCTCTTTCTAAGGGGCCCAACTGAGTAGGTTTATTCTTCCCTATCCACCTGAAGACGGAGACAGATCCAGTCTCCGAAACGTAGTTTTTTTTGTCTACCAGACGATGGGTGAAGTCCAAAATAAACCAAAAGAAATAACGACTTTATGATACACTGAAAGTCCTTCCGTACATATTACTATAGCTGTAAACACCATACTGTGTGTTACCGATAAATCACCTACATCCACGGCCTTAGGAAAAACCCTTAACGATGCGAGCGAATATTCATCCATCACACAGAGGTGTGACCGCTGAAAACAAAACATACATGGAGCTCCCATGTAACTGTTACCCATTTCAGTCACATACCATGCTTTGCTCACGAAACAGGTATCAAGATGACAGTGAAAAACAGAGGTATTATGAGCTAGTAGTTGCATAATGGTTTAGTAATAAGGCCTAGTAGCTAATTTGTTAGAATTAGCGATCATGTTGGAACATGACCAGGCAGAAGAATTTTCTACACCGTGAGGTTCTTTCATTTTATTTGTTCACCTTAATAGACTATACAATTTGTGTTCAAATGTGAATAATCTGAATTTACTTATATTTTTCTTACTCGTTTATTCTTTTTGTCCTCATATTATTTTTTTCATTTTGTATTTGTGCTGACTCTGTAATTGACTCCTGCCTGTTGAGTTCAGCACGTAAGTAAATAAATAACTCAAAGGAATTACTGTTGCTGCTGAACTGTTAATTTATCACATAAATACATAAATTATTATTATAAAAAGCGTTAGACCTATCCTTGTGCTTAAGCAATAAATCACGAAAGGATTTATGACATGAAGTTATACTGGTCATATGTATCACTTCCATACCTCGAAGAACTATTTCTTTAAGACCAATTTTAATATTACCACCATCTGCGCCTAGGACTCCAAAAGGATTCTTTCATTCAGGTCATCCGACTAAAATTTTGTATGTATTTCTCGACAAGGAGACAAAATTCCATGAATTCTAATCTCAGTTTCAGATATGAAGCAGGTCTATAGCTACTACTACTACTACTACTACTACTACTACTACTACTACTACTACTACTACTACTACTACTACTTCTACTACTAATAATAATAATAATTCAATTCAATTCAATTCATGTTTATTTACGTGCAATAACAACAGCACAGTGGCCAATTACAAAGTTAGCACGAGTATATAAGGTACAGAAAATAATTAAAACAAAATACAAATATGACAAATAAATCTGTGAGCATAAATCTAAAGAAGACTGAAATATATACATACATTTATGAATTATTACGAGTGTTGCTAATACTGTTAGTAACTAAATACTAAGATAGACACCTGGGAGTGAGAGCATAAAATTAATAACAAGTCTAATAAATTAATACCAATTACATAAGAAAATTAAAGTTAGCCGAGGTACACGCATTTGTAGTTAATGAAAACACTAATCAAGTAACACCGTAAAAGGTTTGGTACATGCTTGTAAAATATGATTCAGAGAAATATGTCTGCAAATATGTCGAGATCTTTACCCACCACGTTTGTAGCAAGGGCGCACCGAGAAGAGGGACAGTGTCTTTTTGAGGGACGAACGCTAAAAGTAGAGAAGTNTCTTGAAAATCTGCAAATTGTGCAGCTAGTCAAGAACTTTCCAGCATTTTATGGAACCCGAAGGTTCATTACCGTATTCACAACAGCCCTCCTGTGGCCCCTATCCTAAGCCAGATCAATCCAATCCTTCCCATCTCATCCTATCTAAGATTCATTTTAATATTGTCCGACAACCTACATGTTGGTGTTCCCAGTGGTGTCTTTCCTTCTGGCTCTCCCACCAGTATCCTATATGCATTCCTCTCCTCCCCCATTTGGGCTACATGCCCTACCCATCTCATCCTCCTTGAGTTAATAGCAATAACAGTGCCAGAATTACCATACACAATAATGAAAATATGATACTCAATAATTCGAACGATGAGTTCGCTCCCCAGCGTCGATTCCCGCTAGGGCAATGTTTCTGTACTGCCTTGTGAAGAACTTGCGAAGGGGTGATGACCCTTTCAAGAGGCTACCGGCTACCGGCTACATGCTGAGTGTCACAGAAACTACAACTTGGAATAGACAAGACGAATCCAAAAATGTGAATCTGTTTTACGCACAAGCTTTCATGCCGTCTAACAGCATAACAAATATTGTTCTGCAGTTCATTATGATAATTTGTGGAACATATTTGTCCACCATTAGAGAAAAATACGGAGCCATGACTGTCACGTTTCAAGGTGCGCATCAGTTAGTGCCGCTGCTGATTAGGCTATTCGTGAGTACCAGCGCATTAAACCAAAACTTAAAGAGAGCACAAGAGTCTAGGCTCACAGCATCTTCTAAATGTGTCTTGAGCAATTCTGATACCTAACAGCCCTTGATGCTGATCACAGCGGTCGCGCGGTCAAGACATGAACTGTCTTCGCTCGCTCATTCGAACACTGGGATAGTGGGTTCGAATCCCACTCAAGGCATTGATATCTGCATTATCTGCGTTTATTCTGTGTGTACATAGCGGTCTTGTGACGAGCTGATCCCCCGTCCAAGGAGGCCTACCGACTGTGTATAGGATCAAGAAACTGAAAAATCGGCAAAGGCCCAACAAAGGGCTATAGAGTTGTAATAATAATAATAATAATAATAATAATAATAATAATAATAATAATAATAATAATAATAATAATAATAATAGCCTTTGATGTTCATTCATTACACACGCGGACTAACTGCTGTAAAGCTGGTCACACTGCAATGTGTCAGAAAATATTTGTCATTGTACTTAATTATTCTCTCCTTCACAGCGCCAAGACCGGTTCTGGGGCTCGCCCAGCTTCCCCTACATTTGGTCCAAGGGGTTTTGTCCGGGGGTAAAGCGGTCAGAGCGTGAAGATGACCACTCACCTCCAACTAATCACGAGGTCAAGCATGATGGAGCTATACCTCTACTCCTCCATATGTCTTCATGGCAGAGTTCTTAATTAATTACGTAACCGGACAACTTTACATTATTTCATTATTCACCCTGACGAAAACTGTTTCGACAAACATTGTAGTTCTTGATGGAATATGTAGCTTATGCCATGTACTACAGATGGATGGAGGGCAGAAGTTACAAATCACAGGTAAAGGTTTTCTTTTTTTTTTTGCTAGTGAGGTGGGACTAAGTCCCTTGTACTGCGGCCACTTCTGTCCTATTGTACCAGCCCCAGATGATAGGTGAGGGTGATTGTGGAGCAGTTGGTGGAATGAAGATTGGCAGGGGAAACAGAAGTACTCGGAGAAAACCTGCCCCACTGCCACATTGTCACCACAAATCCCACTTGACCAGACCCCGGGATCGAACCCGGGCCGCCGCGGTGGGAAGCCAGCCCAGGTAAAGGTAAAAAGGTAAGTTGTCTCATATGCTTAATTAATTAAGCACTATGCCATGAAGCATGACCTCGACACTAGCTGAAGATACATCAAAATTCTATTTTCCTAACTCTGGTGTCACACCTCAATAAAAGGTAAAGTTATCCCTGTAACAGGCCATGGAGCCCATAGGGTTGTGAGAGGTCAAGGCTCCCACATTTTCTAGACAATCGGCTCATAGATGCCGGAGAGGTTGTCAGCCTTACGCGCCGACCGCCCTTTACCCCCCAGGAAGATTCCTGGTACTCATTTCTGTTAGAGGTTGAGTCCACCCCAGGCCATAGTGCGGTTGGAAGAATTAGGGAAACCGAAAAATCCTATTGCCTCAGCGGGAATCGATCCCGCGACCTTCCAGCTTGTAGCATAGTGTCTCAACCAATTACTCTGTCGCGTGCCCCCGTAAAACCTCAATATTGGAGATTAACCGTGCGGATGGACAGCCACAACTTTATGTGTATTAGATTTACACATTTTGTGCAATGAACGACTGAGAAACTAATTTGAAGTGACTTAAGCCAAGGACACATAACAACGACTGCAGTGTTTGGTGCTAAGTAACAGCACAGCCCCCGATCTAGATATATGACATAGTGACA